CCTACCCATTTCTTCTTAACTTTTTTTTTTCCTTCTGGTTATTTTATCGCCAAAATCTCGTCTACTTTCATGTACATGTTACACTCATTCTTTCTACTTGTGAAGTATGGCTTTTCATGATTCTATGTGTATGGCTATTAAGAGATTATTTCTTCAGGCTACCTCTCGTTCTTTTTTCCCTCCACTGTTTTATATTTTGCTTTTTCCTTGCCATGAAATTGTTTTGATCGGTACTGTTCTTGAATACTCCATCTGCTCTTCACCATGTTGTAAATTAGAATTTTCCAAACTAAAGTTGGAATATTTGGTGGCTCTACCGTACTTGATGATTAAAATATCTTCTTTCATCATATATGATAGTAGAAAAAATCATCTTTATAATGAACATACTTGCCCTATCTCTTACTTTGATCTTGTTATCAAATTATTAGGGATAACAACAGGTTGGATTAGGGCATCTTCTAAGTCGGTTTAGGTAGTATGGATTTGGATGGTAAGATTAGGGCATCCTAAAAGTTGATTTGGGTAGTACGGTTTGGATGGTATTCCGATAGTAAAATATTATAATTCATTGTAGGTTGCCATAAAGTTCGGATAGTGTTTTAAGGGTACTAATTATTCGAACTTGATTATAAATAATAACATTTTAATATTATATATTTATTTAAAAATTATTTATTATGAAGGTAATACTTAAATTAATTCATTCAGTGTTTTAATTTATAATTTTAGCTTTTATTTATTTTATATGGATTACTTTCATTTATTAATTTAATTTCTTTGAATAATATTTTTTAAAATCAATTTTAAATTTAAATTTAAAATTTAAAATTTAACTTAATAAATGAATATTTAATGAGTTTGAACAATAATGAGTTTCTTTTTTATATATTATGTGAGTTAGATTTAGATAATAAAATTAAAAATTATTTGAGTATTTATTGAATTCAAATATTTTAATAAATAAAAAAATTAGGACACTTAAAATTAACATATATCATATCTGTTGTCATTCATAAAATTCGTAACACAATTTATAACAGCAAGCTTCCATGCTAGTTTGAAACCGAAGAAAAACAGGTTCTATTTCTTTATCTGAAATCATCATAAGAATTTAATATTTTTGTGATCTTTGATTAACATGTAATGCAAAGATAATACAATTATTTAAAATGACAAATTTTGGTATTCACTTTATTTTTGTTTAGCTATTATTTGAAGTGAAAGTTTTCTCCAATTGTTTTCGATTAGTTTGTACTTTGAAACAGCTTGCTTATCAAAACATCGAACATATTTTATTAGTGATTGAGGTTGTCTTTTAGTATGTCGGATTCAAAGACAAGCCAAAGTGACTTTTTTAATTAATATATGTTACTAGCATAGATGATTAGAAAATGATTGGGCCTACGAAAAAAGGAGAGAATTATAAAATTAAGTACTTCAAAAAAATATTTATTATTTGATTTTATAATAAAATAATTAATAAAAATATTTATAAGTAAAATTAATAAAAAGTTAAAATTACATCTCAATATTTAAATGTACATATATTTTGATTAAATGTATATGTAACATATAATAATCATTTAAATTTTAAATTAACACCTATTAAACATTAAAGTGATAAAAATAATTTATATTTTTATTAATTTTATATGTTATCAATTAATAAAAATTTGTGAGATCACCCTTTTAGTAAATTTTCTGTTAGACAAATGAACCAACGGCCCATATATATGAATCAAAAAGTTATTTATTTATTCCTTTTTAATTTTTATGATGAGAAGAATGGCTGAAGACAGTGGGTTTTAAATTTAAAATGCAAAAAAATCTAACCGTTGAAACTTAACCAATTAAATTTTAAATTAAAAATTGACTTTTTAAAAATAAATGTAGTGACTAAATGAAAAACATATTTGATGAAAATCAGCTTTGCTTCTTTTATATAAATGAAAAAAAAATGCAAATAGAAAAAGTGGAGGAGCCCCATCAATTTTAAAAGAAATTTTATTTTTCTAACGAAAACAAAGTTGAAGAAGAATGGAGGATGCGAATGTTAGCAAAAGCAATTCTAAATTAAAATCTAAATTACCCCCACACCAAACTTTAACCAAAAGCCCAGCTAAGCCAAAGCTTAAAAGTTGCAAAGATGACTAGTGAGAAGGAATAGCATCGTTTCTCAAAATTGGCTAAAAGGATGGTGAAAGACTGATAAATATCTGCAATTACAAAAAGACCCCTCACCAATTCACCAAAAAAAAAAAAAAAGAGTTGATCATTTTATTTGGTGGTTTAAAAATTTAGACTTTTCTCAAAATAAAGGGATGACCCTCCCCTTCTCATTAGTCCCATTCCCAAAGACACGTGGTGGTGTTTATGATTCCATGGGGTTAACCATCACTGCACCCCATGATCAACTTCTAAAACATTGTTGATAACTATATTATCAAGGAGAAAATTAGCAAAATCATGAACGAAAAATTGAAATAATGAATCAATTGAGAAGAAAACCAAGTTAAACATATCAAATCTTTTTTGAAAGATTTTGTGTGTTCCTAGATTCTCTTTATATTATGACGTTTTTATTTTATTATATTTTTTTGTAAAAAAAATTTTAAAAATAAAAGAAGTTATCTTATTTTTAAAAATTAATAAATTATTTATTAATAAAAAATCATTAAAGATTTGAATCTAATTATCATAAATCTAGATACTCTACATCTAAATCTTAAACTTTAATCATTTGCACCAATCTTTATTGGCTTACTTGATTATAATTAGTAAAAGAAAAACTCAATAAAGTGTTGAAAGAAAGAAAAAATAGTTCATGACACGCTGATAAAATTGTTCATACAAACTAGCAAGGAGATATATGAATTTTTTTTTTTTTTAACTTGTGGTGCGAGATCTTTTGAAGTAATTATTGGTTCAAATAATATGTAATTTAATTAAATTTTAATTTAATTAGATTTTTAAAATTATAAAATTGAAATATTTTAAATGTTTAATTTTTTTTTTCATACAAATTAAATTAATAAATTAAAATTTTAAAAAAATTAATCACTTAGATTCTATTTTTTCTTCGACGGTTTTTTAAAGAATATTTCAAAGCTTAAAATTTGAGATTTTATATTTTTCCGTAACGTTGGGTTTAAGGAGATAAAATTATAAATATACGGAAACACTTCTTTTGGTTTTTTATAAAATTATATACCATTAAAAATTATAATTATAATCAAATAACTTTTAATGTATCAAAAAAAAATTAACAAATCAAGATATAATATAAGAAAATTCAAATTTGATTGGTTAAAAAATTTTTAAAATCTAATAATTAACAATTAAACAAAAAAAATTTAAGTATTTAACAGTTTAATCATTCGATTACATATAATACTTATTATTTAATATTTTTAGTTATGTTTAATGCATAAAATAATAGATAAAACAATAATTTTATATTATATTTGATTTATATCTAATTAATCGTATTGGTATAAAATAATTTAATTTTTCGAAAATAAAAATAACTATCTTTTATTGACGATATTAAATTTATATGTTTTATTATAACATTAAAAATTATATTAATAATTTAAATTATATAAATTTTAAAGAAAAATAATTTTCTGTAACATCTCAACAAGATTTGGTTAACCTTTTTCAACTAATAATAAAATTTTATAATCCAATCAAAATCCACTTTTTGTTGCTAATTATCAACCTTTCCTCCACAATAAAATTCAAACAGCAAACCATAAGAGACGAGACTTGGAACAACAAAACTCGGAATTTTTTATAGCCACTCTTGTCAGCTCGGTAGCAAAATTCTCCAAATTATGTAGTGTTTATAAATGGCAACTAATAAAAGGGGCGAAGTACAACATGCTCCCAAGGCAAAGATTAGCCCTAAAACAGTGTTCTTCCCATGCTGACCAGAAGATTTCTTCAGCAGTACCCAAAAATTTTCTATAGCACCTCAAATTTTGGGGCAAAACCATGGAGCCAGATATCTCTAAAGATCTCAACCAAATGGTGAGCAAATTAAAAGAATATATATATATATATATATATATGTATATTTCAACCCTAAAATCATAAATGTGGATAAATTATACACATTTGCAAAGGAATGCATTTCACGATTAGAAAGGCAGCGAAAATTTTGATCTCAAAGCAACAGAAGAAAGCATTGTCATGGCTTGCACAACTTCAAGATGCTCCTTTTTTCCGCCTGCTGCAAAGCACTCTTTCAAATTGTCTACATAATTAAAGAGGGCCTAATCAAAGAATAAAAAATCATTTCTTGAATAATTTTGTCACATAGCTTGCAACTTCAATTAAATAAACATCAATAAGAAAGTGAGAAAATTATTGTCATGAAAGTCCACCTTTCTTTAAAATGCCAATAATAATCACAGCATCTAACTTTCAAAGATTAAGCATCATAATAACAAAAACCAAGCAATCAGAACTCGTGAGATACATCTCAAAAAAATCACTGAATGATGTTGAAACCATAAATTTAAAATTCCTAATTTAATGTTTTATTTTTAGGCATCTAATCTATAATATTCAATTAACAGTATATCATAATTTCAATACCATTAATATTCTTACTAAAATACTTTCTAAACAAACAACAGTAATTAATTTCATTAGTTGTTAATGGAGTCAAAGTCAAATTTCTAGTCAGCATCAATTTATGTGGAGAATTATACTTACTCAAAGCAGCATCTTGGTCAATAAGAACCTTTTCTAAGAGTTTATGGACTGCAATACAGTCCTTGAGTTTCCACGCCAGTACTGGTCCAAATGCCCCATTCCTGGACAAGCAAAAGAGAAAGAAACAATTAATCTCAAGAGTAAGTTGCAAGGCATGGAATCGACATCAAACAGCAAAAATTTTAATGTACACTAAGAGCATTACATTGGCATGACTTTATTGCATGAATCTTCAATTAACTTAACAGCCTCAAGTTTCTTGGTCTGCTCCAAAGTATATAACATTTCTGCAACTGCCACTATATGCATCAAAGATTCTGCAGAACCAAAAAGTGAAATTTGCATGATTATACAACCTACCTCAAGGAACCTAAAATGCATCATGTTATGTAAAGGTCGTAATACCTTCATGTTTACCAAGGAAAACTTTGTTCGCCTCACTAAGAGTTTTCTCCTGCAATTGACTGCGGAAAGAGAAAATAAAGGGATTTAATACATCAGGGGTCAAAATAATAATAGTAACAGTAACACAACAAAATTCTAGTAGGGGTAATGGCTATCATAAAGCCATTTCAAAGAGAACCTGATGGATGGACACTCAGCTTCTAAGACACCCCAAACAAGTTTTTCAGCATCAGTTAATGGAGCAGGCATTGAGCCCAATTTATGGAAAAATTTAATCTGCATCAGATTAAATTCAAATAAGCATTGTAAAGATTACATGATCTTTGTATCTAAGAACAGAAAAGAATGCAGTTGTGCATGGCAGTGCACAAATATGGTAGGGCAGATGTTACATACCAAGCAGCGATGTGAATCTGGATTCTCAGCATCCAGCCTTAGCAGTTGCTTTACAGCCTTCAGGAAAACAAAATAAAACCAAGACAAACGTACTAATATGAGCTCATGAAATAGTAAAAGTACTACTGCACAAAACCATTGTTCTACAACTCAAAGATATGTCGTGCAAACTATCTAATTCACAAATAAATTCATTGAGTGAGTAGAGTAATAAGAAAAGGATGTTTGGTTAAAAGGTACAGTTTCTTTATTTCAAGAACATATCCACAGGCTGCAAGTGAAAAAAGAGAGAAAACAAGAGAAGGGGCTTCCTCACAAACCACTAGTTGACAATTAAATATCAGTTCTAGTTGACCAAACACAAAAAGAACAAGAAACACATCTCATGTTCAATTATTGGAAAATATAATACCTGAAAGGCAAGCAAAATCTTCTGCTTTCTCATATTTACTTCAAAAGAAAGTAAGTGCGTCTCCAAAGAATCAGGTGAGTTCTTCTGAAGCAACTTCAAGTACTTCGTTGCTTCTGACAAGGGATACTCTGTCTGAAAAAAAAAATACAGATTAAACAGTCTTAGCTTAATAGGCATTAGTGTAACACATTTTTACAGCACGAGGACTTTAATCAGGAATCTAAAGCACAGGGAAAAGATAATAATAGGTAACCTTCAATAATTTTTCTCCAAAAGGATAAGGATCTACAGGTTTAACATGTCGTTTCCCAGACTTAGAGATTCCACTAGAACTTGATTCTTCATTTTTCTCCTCTGCCTCCTAAAATAATACACGGCATCAGAATGAAATCATCAAAGAGAGTGTTAGCCAAGAATCACCAAAACAAGCTGATATACTTTCTTAGCTCGTTCCGCCTTCCTCTGCTTCTTCATTTTCTTTTTCTGAGAAGGAGTCTTTGATGTGTCATCCTCTTCTTCAGCCAGTGAGTTCAAAGGAGAATCAAACAACTTTAGATAGCATTTGCACTTCAAAATCCAATAATTATCAATGCAGAAAGAATAGGTAAGTAAGAAAACTTACCTTTCAAGGGTGATCATACAAGGGAGAAAGGTCTGAGAATAAAGATGGAACCCCCAGAGACCACCAAGAAAATATATCAATATTTCACCCAACAAACTAAAAACACCAGTCAAACTAACACAAAAAAAAAAAAAAAAAATCTCATTGGATGTATATACCTTTGTTGGAAGAGGCTTAATGTAATTAAATGCTGCTTCACAAAATTTGTCTCCTTGCAGAAAATCAAGAGGTATCCTCTAAAAATTGAGAAAACAAAGTTCTAATATAAGTCCATGTCAAATCTCTAAGGGTGAAGCATATGAAAGCATAATTTTAACCACCTAGTGTTCTTACAATTGTCACATCAAGACATCAATTAAGTATTTCAGCATAATACCACAACTATCTATTTCTAGATTATTTAAGAATATCACAAGCTATTGAATGGATTGTGTTTGTTGTAGAAGCACATCACTAGATTTTTGTCACATAATTTCTTATCAAGCCATCAAGAAAAATAAGATCCCTACAAGAGTATTTGTAAAAATAGCCACCCCTCCTCTCTCTAGAAAAGGGGAGAAAGCTTGACAGCTCTGCAGAAAAGTAAGATTTTCGTTGGATTTGCATCATGTGATTCCATAAATAAGAGAGAGAGAGAGAGAGAGAGAGAGAGAGAAGAAATCCAGAGTAAATATAATGAACAGAACATCCCAAGGTACCATTTGGAGCTCATAAAAAAAATAATAAAAAAAAAGAGATACAAAACAAAAAATGAAATTAATATGACTTAACAGTTAAGACATAATAAAACAGTTTAGACTAGCACATTCCACCACTAGGGAGTTTTTGCAATAAACAGAATGTATCGATAACATCCATCATAAATTCCTAATGAAAACAGAAGCACAACATAAATCCATCACCTTAACTGCACAAGACCAAGTGTACTATTGTGAAAGTGATTTGTATAATGCATCCAATCGATCAAATTCATCAGAGGAATACTTGGCATTTTCAGAATATAGGCCAAAGCATTTCTGCAAGCCTTCATAATATCTGAAAAATATACATATACAAATACAAAAATTGTAAGTTGGTTGGCTCCTGGTTTATCAGACCTAATAGCAATAAATTGCGCCGATATATAGGCATATACTGAGTGAAGAGACATAAGTTAACAGTTCCGTAAAAGAATTTTCCTCATTTCCCAATCTGAGAAAGCACCCAAGAGACTGTTGACACATATAGTAGTATAGAATTACAGTTCTGCTCATAGTTGCTTTGCTACTTTTTAATTATATTTATATATGAGGTGGTGCATAATGCTTCTTTTTACTAAAAGAGCTAAGCAAAGGGCTTGACAGGACAGAGAGATATAAAACAATCCCAAGAATGAAAAAAATAAAAATAACCTCATTTTATGTAAAGATACCATGATGTAAATGTAACACGCACAAGTATAAGCAAAAGCTTAAAGAAACAAAATTTAAAACTAAAAAACGATTGAATTTGTGACATAAGGGATACACACTGATTAGTTTCAAGCTTAAAGCACCAACGAAAATAGAACATAAAAAATAATGACTATTTCTACCATTCTTTTAACCCTTCATAAAGTTCTAACATAGGTAAAGGAATTTGGGTGTTACTACAAGAAGAATTGAAAAACCTATTAGCCCAACAAAAATATATTTAAACACACAACCTATTCAGAATATTAATTATTCTTCATTTCCTACAATAATAATACACCACGGCATTGAGAAAAAGAAGTCAATTATAACTTCAAGAAGTGCTATATAAAAGGAAAGAGTTGACTAATATTCTTTGCTATGAAAGATTTATTAATGAGCTTAACTAGGTGTTTCAAAAGAGTACCAAATGCATAAGACTCACCTGTAATTGTCAGGGTTCATGGTAAGTAAAGCCTTGTAAATATTGGCACCTTCTTCTAGGCATCCAAGTTTCACCGGGAGAGAAACCTCTTGTTCTTTATAAGTCAATTTATCAACCTAGAATAATAGAATTGGTTAGAATTTTAATGTCCAAAACTTCAAAACTTACAAAATTTTTAATGTTAAAAGTATTCAGGTATTATACATTTGACACGTACTATTTTTGGCTCTTTCTTATACAATTCCTCAAGTGCTCTCTCAAGAAACCCAGATTCCTCTAGCAAAGAGATCTGGAGAAAAATACCATACCCTCATAAACATCAGAAAAGCAGCAGGGGGCACCACTAGTCTAGATGTACAGCATCCATTATGCATAATGAATGTAGTTATGCATATTTCTATGCCAATATATTATTAAAGAAATAAATGCTACTGCAAGGGCTAAGGCTTGTAGGTACTTGTCCAATTGGTTAAGCTGTTTTCGAATCATGTTAATGGTGTTAAACCAAAAAAGAGTAGTCAAAAAGAAAGATAGACTAATTTATTAAGATGTCAGAAACAAAAATTCCAAAATGGTTCCACAGAACATATAATTGGAGATTAGCAATTATTAAGATTCAGAGCTGCTAAGTACAAACACCACAGATATGATTACTGGTAGAAGGCCCAACAATTAGTGAACAAGCCATATTTCTCTCTAACATGAATACATCAAGAATTAAATATCTTATAGATGCCAAATACCACTATAGGCCACTAGTCAGTCGTCCATCTCAGATTAAAGTAAACTTGGAGATGATTTAATTTAACTTATCAGCCATACACACAGAATCATGAAAAGCCATTCTTCACAAGTAGAAAAAATGGGTGTAACATGTACATGAAAGTAGATGAGATTTTGGCAATAAAATAAGCACAAGGAAAAAAGAAGTTAAGAAGAAATGGGTAGGTTTTCTAATTGCATGTGAAAAAAATTAGAATTAATTCAAAAAAGGGACCCCATTTATAAAGAAGGTAAAGGCATTAAAAATCTTTAATTTTTGTATATTTAATTACTTTATTTGGTTTATGGATAATTTCACTAACTGTGTTGGCATCTGGTTAACAAGTGACACCAAATCAGTCACTCCCATTCTATGTTAGTATAAATTCTAAAATTTTGAATGTCTGTATAATGAAGTCAACTCATGTGAAATTACAGCCACATCCCACATACATATGCATGCAAAAAAAAAAAGAGTTGAAGTACATGACCAATACCTTATATAAAAGCATTTCACCATGCTCACAACGTTCATTATCTGGTGGATAATCATCTTCTAATGTCCCTTCAAATGCTTCCAAAATTTCAACTGCTTTTGCACCACTAATATCAACCAAAAAAAGGAATACAGCATAAATACCTAAAGGATGAATGAAATTAATAAGACTTCATTCACTTAGAACTACTTGGCTAAGACAGGGACAGAAAAGGAAAAACCCTCGTAACTGTTGTGCCAACAACTTCAATTCATTCATATATAAAGCCAAATGAAAATATGGCATCATCATTGTCTCCATATAAAACTATAGCAAAAACAACAGAACTCTGCAGTTAACTAGGCATTGTTTGTAAAAGGCTAATTTGCAACCAAATTTCATAAATGCAAGTGCAACCAGCTTAGAATAGTAGGGTACCTATCTATCTACCCACCTATCTATACATATTAGTAACATCTTTAACACATTCTACACCCACCATATATTTTCATAAAAGAAGTTTGATATCTTATTGGATGTTTAGTTGAAGTCATACAAACAATATGAACCACGTGTTAAAAATCAACAGTAATTTCATCCATGTTAGCACCCATTTGATCATATAATTAGAAACATTAAGTCCTGATTAAGCATTTAATTTAAAGAAAGGCTTTCATTATATCAACAAATATTTCAACTTTCAATACCAAAAGGCCCTTCAATTTGGACCTTCAAGTATACATAACAATAACAACACTCTAAAACATGTTTCACAAAATAAAAGTCAACAGAAATTGGTGAAGGTTAGCATAAGAATTGGAACAAATTTTTTTATGAAAAAAATAAAGGACAAGTACTATGAGTTTAAATGGTGGGCTAGGCAAAGCCAATCCAGTTCATGCGATGATTTGGTTTCAAATGCAAAAGTTGTTGTCTTGTATCAACAAATCCTGTCAAATCTCGCATGTGTGCCTGCAATGCAAAAGATAAAACATAAATGCAATAATTTCTGATACAACCTGAAACATGACAATGAGAAAATACAAAACCATGATCAAATCCAAAAAATTTCTCTCAAACTTCATATCCTAGTAGAAAGACAAATGCTCATCATCTTCATACTTTTTCCTTTAACTTTTCAAGGCATATAAACCATAAATAAAGGGGGGGGGGGGGGGGGGCACAAATAAGTTAATGCCAACAAATGACTTAATCATCTGAAATCATGAGTTAAGAATCCATAATATGGCAAGCGCTAAAGTCTTGTATCAAAGATGCCGACTTTTGTTACTATTCTGGAGCAGTAAGGCACATGGGCAGATGAAATTAAGAGAAGAACCGAACCAGATCTGATCCAGAAAGTATAAACACTTTCTAATTGCAAAGGTCATTAATGTTAAAACCTTCAACCATTAAGGAACTAGTAGAATGAGAGAGAAAAAGGTTCTGTGGCGGTAGACCAGAAAGTATCAATTCAAGGTGGTTGATTCTTACAGGATAATGAGAATGAAAGGATCAAATCAGACTGGTTGCTTCTGATTATATTACTTGTCATTCTATAAACACTTTCAACCATTAAGGAACTAGTAGAATGAGAGATAAAAAGGATCTGTGGCGATAGACCAGAAACTATCAATTCAAGGAGGTTGCTTGTTACAGTAAAATGAGAACGAAAGGATCAAATCAGACTGGTTGCTTCTGATTATATTACTTATGTTTTATTTTTGCGTGTGCCTCAAAACAAAACCTTCAATTAAGATACTAAATCTGAACCATCTCTCATATTAATCTGCTGCCAGAATACCAGATGATGTCTGTTATATCCTTTTCCTTCCCCTAAAGCCATAAATTGTTTCTACCAAAACTATGATCTAAATTTTCAAAGTTATAAAACCACCTGACTCATCTACTTTCTAAGTGTTTAAGAAGATATTTTTTTCATGGTCTCATACAGCCTCTCCCTTTTAGTTGAGTTATCTCCATAAATTCCATTCCTCTGTTTTAAGCCATATATCTTCGTCTCTTTTGTTACTATCTTAATATAATTATGCCTTTTCCATCCATCTACTAGTAGATTCCGTCAAGCAACTAAACAGCTTCAAATTTCATAAAATTTATTTTCACTTCACTACTAACTATGTAGCTGATCTTGGTGTTTTCATCCAGTTATATTAAGTTACCACAATGAACATGCCCTTACCAACTACCACATAACTTACAGTTGCACAAAAGTTGGCACCAAACTATTTTAGTTGCAATATTGACTTGCCTATAAGTACCCTAATACTTAAGATTCTCAAATTCTACAATGGAATCTGAAAAATCTTTTAGGCAAACCACAAAGCTTACAAGAAATCTTATACAGAGAAACTCCTTTAAATGTTCGAAAAATACCATGACAAGCAAATGTTCTTACTTAACATTAAGCATACAACAGATAAACATCTTAGATTTAACACTGAGTCTAGATGTACAAATCATAGAGAAGGAAGGTAAATAAGGTATACCTGCAAGAGTTACAAGTCCCGTAGTATTTCAATGTTGTCTGGATCTATTCTCAAAGCGTTGCGATAGCATTTGATAGCCTCCCTGTATTCTCTATCTGACCGATAGAGGAGACCATAAACATGCCAGCAAACATGACTTTTTACATCATTCTACATTAAGACACAAACATGAAAACAATGTTAGGAAAAAGTGACACTGCTTTGACATTATAGCAACCAAAAGAAAATAAATAAGATAACCTTTACACCTAGCCAAACAAGCTCATAAGCTTCAGTTTTCCGATCCATGCAATTTAAGGTTAACCCCTTCATTGACAATGTTTCTGACAATAATGAATAAAAGCCCATATGACAACATACGAACACAACAAACAAACAGTTACCAGATAGTATTACTTGGAAACTGCATATTTAAAAGGATGGATATATTAAACAAAACGCTACTACACTCTCCCAATACCGCACACTAATGAATATTCACAAAACCCAACCAAGATGAAGAAGGTATTCAAATATTGCAGATTTCAAACTGTATAGGTTAAAAATGTAGTTATATATCCGAAATTAATGCAATATATTCAGTTGATAGAGAATATCTCCACATTGATACTGCTAGAATGTTCCACTTATCTCTAGAACCATCATAAATCATGGACTAGTCACCATACAGCTAGTGCTTTCAAAAATGCAATTGACATCAATCATAAGACATGAGAAAGGAACATACAGTCTACAGAAACAATCATGTCAAACTTAGAGGCATTCTTGTAAGGATTATTGAAACCAATAACCTTGATAACAACATAAACTATCTAGTGACAGCCCCTTTTTCCTCTAAAGTGTAAAGTTCTTTTTGTTTCAGAGTTCTTGCATCTTTATCCAGGTACATTTACAAGAACCATGCAAACATAAACACTAAACAATAAGTGCCTCTCAGCCAAAAACAAATAAATAAATAAGTGCTTAAAATTAAACTACCTCCATGGTCAGGAAACTTTTTCAGTATTGCATCTGCAGCCTTCAGCCCTTTCTTGTACTGTTTAGTTTCATATGATTTCTGCAATGATAAAATATACAAGAGCTTTAGCAATAGCACATGGACCTCCAAAGCAATAAAAATTCAGTTATGAGAATTAGCTAGAGTATAATAACAGATAAATATTAATTACATAAAAATCAGGCAAAAAAACTGTGTCAAGAGTCCATTACTATAGAAGTTAAAATAGAGTAAGAATTCACCCGTCAAAACTCTAGTTTTCACTATAAATTAGAAGAAATAAGAGGGAAGGGGGGAAAACTCTCAATAGCGTGTGGAAAACAACCAAATGTTGCTATTCTATATCTAATACGAACAAGTTCTTAAAATATATAAATATTCAAGTTTAACCAGCAAAGCCTACGGTTACATTAAAAATTGTCCCAGTAAATTTATCAAATTCTTAAATAGATTGTTTCACAAAGTTTGTTATTGTCTTGAATGCTTTTGTGCATAAAAGCCAGAGTGCCACAATTGTTTCCCATTAGGAACCAACAAAATTCCTATTTTAAAAAGTTGGCAACATACAAGAGAAATTAAAGTAGGAAGAGTCACCAAACCCTTTTATTTTCATTTCTCTAATTTTCTCCATTATGATACAAATGAATTATCACAAAAAGGAAAGCACAACGAGCATCCTTACTTAAAAAAAAAAAAAAAAAGGTCAAAGCAAAATTTTTTAAAGTTGCTTTTCAACAAATCGAATTCATTGACCTAAATTAAGCAAAGCAATAAACTTAATTAAGCTTCAATCGCTAAACAGAACAAAGAAAATGAACTTAATTTATATGAAAAATTGCCCAAAAGCAAAAACCTAATTGACAAACAAACTTATCTAGTCCAAATTTCCATTCATAATTGATATCCACCGATTTTCTCAGCAAGCAAACAGACCAGTATCCAGCTAGGGTTTTGCAAGCAAAGAACAAAAAGAAAAAGAAGTGCGATCCAATAAACAAAAAATAAGAAAGCAAAATACAAGTATAAATACCAACTAGAAATACGTAGATACGAACTCAAAAATGAGGGAGAAAAGAGAATCGAAGCCTTACGACAATGAGTTTGAAGAGGTTAGCTTCCTTCGGAGGCAACGAAGCACCCATTGTTGAAGAAAATTAGAAAATTTTAGAAGAAAAACAAGAATCGTAAGAGAAAAAAAATGAGAAGATTGAGACTTGATGAAGTGAGAGTTACGGGCTTGCAAGAGAGAGAATAGAGTGGTGGCGTTATCTGCTGCTTCAACCCTACGGTCAACTAGAAGCTTGAACAAAAGTAAAATTAAAAAGGAATAAATAAATAACTTTTTGATTCATATATATGGGCCGTTGGTTCACTTGTCTGACGGAAAATTTACTAAAAAGGTAATCTCACAAATTTTTATTAATCGATATCATAATCAGATATTTAACATATAAAATTAATAAAAATATAAATTATTTTATCACTTTAATGTTTAATAGGTGTTAATTTAAAATTTAAATGATTATTATATGTTACATATACATTTAATCAAAATATATGTACATTTAAATATTGAGATGTAATTTTAACTTTTTATTAATTTACTTATAATATTGAGATGTAATTTTAATTTTTTATTAATTTTACTTATAAATATTTTTATTAATTATTTTATTATAAAATCAAATAATAAATATTTTTTTTAAAGTACTTAATTTTATAATTCTCTCCTTTTTTCGTAGGCCTAATTATTTTCTAATCATCTATGCTAGTAACAGATATTAATTAAAAAAGCTACTTTGGCTTGTCTTTGAATCCGACATACTAAAAGATAACATCAATCCAATAAAATATAATATTGAGATGTAATTTTAATTTTTTATTAATTTTACTTATTAATATTTTTATTAATTATTTTATTATAAAATCAAATAATAAATATTTTTTTTAAAGTACTTAATTTTATAATTCTCTCCTTTTTTCGTAGGCCTAATTATTTTCTAATCATCTATGCTAGTAACAGATATTAATTAAAAAAGCTACTTTGGCTTGTCTTTGAATCCGACATACTAAAAGATAACATCAATCACTAATAAAATATATTCGATATTTTGATAAGCAAGCTGTTTCAAAATACAAACTAATCGAAAATAATTGGAGAAAACTTTCACTTCAAATAATAGCTAAACAAAAATAAAGTGAATACCAAAATTTGTCGTTTTAAATAATCATATTATCTTTGCATTACATGTTAAATCAAATATTACAAAAATATTTAATTCTTATGATGATTTTAGAGAAAGAAATAGAACCTATTTTTCTTTGGTTTGAAACTAGCAGGGAAGCCTACTTTTATAAATTGTGTTACGAATTTTATGAATGACAACAGATAGGATATATGTTAATTTTAAGTATCCTAATTTTTTTATTAATTAAAATATTTGAATTCAATAAATACTCAAATAATTTTTAATTTTATTATCTAAATCTAACTCACATAATGTATATAAAAAAAAACTCATTATTGTTCAAACTCATTAAATATTCGTTTATTAAGTTAAATTTAAATTTTAAATTTAAATTTAAATTTGATTTTAAAAAATATTATTAAAAGAAAAAAAATTAATAAATGAAAGTAATCCATATAAAATAAATAAAAGCTAAAATTATAAATTAAAACACTGAATGAATTAATTTAAGTATTACCTTCATAATAAATCATTTTTAAATAATCTATAATATTAAAATATTATTATTTATAATCAAGTTCGAATAATTAGTACCCTTAAAACACTATCCAAACTTTATGGCAACCTACAATGAATAATAAGTGTTTTAACTATCGGAAATACCATCCAAAACCAATACTACCCAAATCGACTTTTAGGATGCCCCTAATCTTACCATCCAAATCCATACTACCCTAAAGCCGACTTAGAAGATGCCCTTAATCCAGCCTATTGTTATCCTAATAATTTGATACACAAAGATCAAAGTAAGAGATGGGGCAATGTATGTTTCATTATAAAGATGGATTTTTTCTACTATCATATATGATGAAAGAAAGAAATTTTCAATCATCAAGTTACGGGTAGAGCCACCAACTATTCCAACTTTAGTTTGAAAAATTCTATTTACAAACCTGGTGAAGAGTAGACTGGAGTTATTCAAGAACAGTATCGATCAAAATCATTCATGGCAAGGGAAAAAGCAAAATATTAAAAATAGTGGAGGGAAAAAAGAACGAGAGGTAGCTTGAAGAACATCTCTTAATAGCCATACACATAGAATCATGAAAAGCCATACTTCACAAGTAGAAGAATGAGTGTAACATGTATATGAAAGTAGACAAGATTTTGACGATAAAATAACTAGAAGGAAAAAATAAGTTAAGAATAAATGGGTAGGTTTTCTAATTTTTATTTTTTTTCTTGTTTTTCTCTTTTTTTCACAAATTTCTTTTTATTTCTTGTTTGAATTTTTTTTTGCACTTCCTTGTTTTGTTTTTATTTTTATTTTGTATTAACTTTTTTCCTTTGTTAAGTTTTCTTATTACTTTTTATATATATTTTTTGCTTGTGTTTTTTAATCTAAATTTTTTTCTATTTTGTCATCCCTTTTCATTTTTGAAATTTTTTTTATTTTGATTTTATTTTATATATTTAGTATTTTCAATTTTTTTTATTTTTTTACTTTCTCTTATATCTTTTTTCTCATTTCATTTTGTTTTTATTATATTTTGTATTAACTTTTCTTTAGTTTTTTATATCTTTTTTTTCTATATTTGTTTTTTTTTTTCTTTATATTTTCTAAACTAAAAGTTTTTTCTGTTTTGACATTCCTATTTATTTTTGAATTTTTTAATCATTTTGTCTTTTTTTATTATTTTGTTGATTTGTTAATTTTTTATTTTCTTTTTCTTTTTTTTTGTTTATTTCTCATTACTTATCTTATTTTTATTACTTTTTTGTTAGTATTTTTCTTATTTTTCCTTTTTTATTTATATTTTAAAAAAATTTATAAAGTTTTGAATTTTTTTATTTTTTGGTTTTTTTTATTTACTCATTTCTTGTCCTATTTTATTATTTTTCAACAACTTTTTTTCCTACAAATTTTTCTTTCTTTTTACTTATTTTTTCATATGCTTTCATTTTTTTGTTTTAATTTTTATTATTCTCTCGCTTTTCTTATTTTTTTCACAATTTTTTTATTTCTTATTTGCGTTTTTAAATTCTTATACTTTTTTTTGCACTTCCTTCTTTGGTTTTCATTTTTATTTTATATTAACTTTTATCTTTTTTTAATTTTTTTGTCTTTGATTTTTTATACCGCTTTCTCATTATTTTTTTCATTTTTTGTATTTTTTATACTAATTTTTTTTCATTTTGTCATTCCTTTTCATTTTTGAATTTGTTATTAATTTTTTATTTTTTATTTTTGAGTCATTATTTTTTCATTTCTCACTTTTTTTATTTTTATTATATTTTTGTATATTTTAAATTTTTTTCTTTTCTTATTGGTATTGATTTTTTTTCTTTTGTTTTTGTACTTTATTTATCCTTTTTCTTTTGCTTTAATTTTTTTCTTATTTTTATTTTTTTTCGGTTTATTTTTTATTTCTTTTTTACTTATATTTTCATAAATTTTTATAAGGTTTTAGATTTTTTATTTTTTCATCTTTTTATCTTTTCTTTTGCTTTTTTTTTTTATTTTATCATTTGTTGGTTATTTTCTATTGCATTTTTATAATTTTTTATTAATTTTTTTCCTTTTAAATTTTTCTTCTTTTTTTTAATTATTTTTTCATGTACTTTCATATTTTTTTGTTTTCACCTTTTACTTTGTTTTAAAATTTTCTATATACTTTTTTTTCTTTTTGTTTTATTTCATATTTGTCTTTTCATTTTTTTCTCTTTTTTTCACAAATTTCTTTTTATTTCTTGTTTCCATTTTTTTTTTTACACTTCCTTGTTTTGTTTTTATTTTTATTTTGTATTAACTTTTTTCCTTTGTTAAGTTTTCTTATTACTTCTTATATATATATATATATATTGCTTGTATTTTCTAAACTAAATTTTTTTCTATTTTGTCATCCCATTTAATTTTTGAAATCTTTATTTGTTTTTTATTTTGATTTTATTTTATATATTTAGTATTTTCATTTTTTTTACTTTTTCTTATATCTTTTTTCACACTTCATTTTGTTTTTATTATTTTTGTATTAACTTTTCTTTGATTTTTTATTTTTTTCTATATTTTTTTTGTTTTTCTTTGTACTTTCTAAACTAAATTTTTTTTTCTATTTTGACATTCCTATTTATTTTTGAAATTTTTATTCATTTTCTCTTTTTTTATTATTTTGTTGATTTGTTAATTTTTTATTTTATTTTTCTTTTTCTTGTTTATTTCTATTTGCTTTTCTTATTATAAAGTATAATTAATTAATTTATATTATTATAAAGTATAATAAACATTGTAATATTAATTAATAATAATTATAATCTTTAAAAATAATAATGATATAATAATAATAATAATAATAATAATAATAGTTTTATCCAATTATTATTAGTTATAACATAATAATTTATATATGTGATAGAGAAATTAGTTCAAATAATTATGGTATTGATTATAACTATTATTATAATTAATTTATAAATAATTATTATAATTATTATTAATATATTTAATATATTATTTGATAAATATAATTATATAATTATATTTTTAATATTAATAAAAAATATTGATGCTAAATGATTATAATCAATTAATTATAATAATTATTAATTTATAATTATATAGTTATTTTATTTATTAATATATAATTGTTCAGTAAACACATTATTAACAATATATAATATATATTATTACTATTTTATTTATAATATTTAAGAAATTATTTACAAATTAATAATTAATAAATTATGTAATAACATAATAAGACATTTGTAAAATAATAGTTATCAAATTTATAAGTTAATATAAATTAATTAAGTTATTATATTATATATGAAGAATTTACATATATAAAACAATTTATAATTTCAATATAATTATTATATTAATAATAGTTTATAACATATAACTCGATTAACTAATATTAATAATTATATAATTTAATTATGTAATAATTGTTATAACTTATTTGTTATTATTAATAATTTAATAATTATTTTTAGTTATTTGATAATTATTCTAATAGTACTAATAATATTTATTATTATAACTATAGTATATTTATATTTAAAAAATATAACATCACTTTGAGAATTAATTAATTATAAAAATTATATAGTTATTTTATTTATTAATATATATAAAT